AAATATCTATTCTAAGGAAGTTCAGAGGAGCTCATCTTTTTTTTTTTTTTTTTTTTAATATATATATATATATTTTTTATTGATTTTGTACAGAGAGGAAGGGAGAGAAATAGAAAGTTAGAAACATCGATGAGAGAGCGTCATCGATCAGCTGCCTCTTGCACACCCCCTACTGGGGATGTGCCTGCAACCAAGGTATATGCCCTTGACCAGAATCGAACCTGGGACCTTTCAGTCCCCAAGCTGATGCTCTATCCATTGAGCCAAACTGGTCTCGGCCAAGAGGAGCTCATCTTGCCCAGGCCTTGCCCTCCTCTGCCAAGAACAGAGGGGCCCAGGACTCCATCACTCCCCAAGCTCTAGGGAATGTGAGCACTCCACAGGGTCCACAGAGAAGTTCCTGGCTTGGCACCAAAGGTTCTCAGACTCATAATTGTCTCCTCTCCTCAGGAACCATTGGGGGCAGGGCTGCCCAGTCTCTGTGTTCCTGGCCCTCCCTGCGCAGATACAGTCTGCACAGCCTTCACTCTGCTCCTAATCTCTCAGCAACTTCTCTGCACCTCCCCCCCCCTTCTCCCAGAACAAAGCTGACTTCTGGATGTGGCTAGACCAGCAAGACCCATTGAGAAAGGCTGAATCTGCTTCAGACTAAAAATGCATTCCTGAACATTTTTCCAGCGGAGGAAGGAAACTGGCATATCAGAATCTCCAAAAAGCCAGAGGGGTGGAGTGTTCCCTCAGTACGTATCTATTCTTCCCTCTGCCCGCCCCTCAAGTACCCCTGATTATGATTCCACTGTGTGATGTATGCAAATGGCTTGCAGGCAGGAAAAAAAGGTTGATAATCACTGCTTTCAACCAACCTGGGTGAGCCCAGACTGAGATTCACCTCAGTGACTAGACCAAGCTTGACTCAGTGTGAGGATTCCTTTCTCAGTGGCTCTCAGGTGCCCCAGCTTGACTGAGCTTTATTCTGCCGGCAGCCCCTACTGCAAACGCTCCCCTCTGTGCCTGTGCACGAAGCCCAAGGCAGAGGCAGCAAATTGGCAGAGGCTTGCAGATACCTTTTGTGTGGCCCACACAACTTTTTTTTTTTTAAATATGTTTTATTGATTTTTCACAGAGAGGAAGGGAAAGGGATAGATAGCCAGAAACATCGATGAGAGAGAAACATCAACCAGCTGCCTCCTGCACACCCACTACCGGGAATGTGCCCACAACCAATGTATATGCCCTTGACCAGAATCGAACCTGGGATCTTTCAGTCTGCAGACCAACGCTCTATCCACTGAGCCAAACCGGTTTCGGCAACTTTTTTAAAAGGAGTATTAGTTATAAGCATTCAAAAATTGGGAAATTTCATATAAAATTCCAGATTTGTGGATCTCTTAAAGTCAAATAAGCCATGGCACACCCAGGCTGGCTTCCCTGCAGGAGCTGGGTGGTGCTGCCTTCTTCAAAGAGGGCAAGCACTGTCTAGTTCAGTCCAGCCCAGCTCCCACCATGCCAGTTGCTTTGTACCTGGCCAGCTTCGTGGGTTGACTTTTCCCATCCCGCCCTGTCGGTTTGCACTCCTGGACCCAAGGCACCTCTTGCGATCCAGCAGAACAGGGTTCCTCTTGTTCCTGGGCCAACTTTAAACCCCTGGAGACTTGGGTCTATTTCATAATTTAAAAATATATATATTTTCTTGAATTTTTTATAGTGGGGAAGGGAGAGGGACAGAGAGCTAGAAACATCAATAAGAGAGAAACATCGACCAGCTGCCTCCTGCACACCCCTTAATGTACATGCCCTTGACCGGAATCGAACTCGGGACCTTTCACAGACTGACGCTCTATCCACTGAACCATACCGGTTTCGGCTATCTCATAAGTCTTTTTTCTGTTTTAGCAACTGAAACTGATTGAAAGAAGAATCATTCCTTTTGAGGGCGATACCTTACCTGCTGGAGAGCGCTGGGCTTCCAGGAAGGAGAAAAAGGCGAAAGCCTTACTGGGTTAGACTGATTAGAAGGGAGCTGACGGTTTCTTTTCACCCTAATTGGCCTAATGTGGGATGCCCATAGCTTTCCTCCCTGCTTCTTTCCCCCCACTCCTCCATGGCCACCCATGTGTGGCGCCCATGCACAAGCTGTTTGTACTAATTTTTGTTTTTTGTGTTTGATGTGGGTGCTCTAGACAAAGCCTAGTACTAAACCATGCAAAACTGAGCTGCCAGCAGAGCCCTCTGGTGACAATGACAGACTGTGGCTGACGTCAGGGGAGCACAGCACAAGTAGAAAGGAGTAGAATTCTAATATTTTCAAAGCCACTTATTACAAGACTAGAGGCCCGGTGCACAAAATTCGTGCATGGGGGGGAGTCCCCTCAGCCCAGCCTGTACCCTCTTCAGTCTGGTACCCCTCAGGGGATGTCCAACTGTCAGTTTAGACCCAATCTCGGAGATAAGGCCTAAACCGGCTGTCAGACATCCCTCTGACAATCCTGGACCACCAGCTCCTAATTGTCACCTGCCTGCCTGCCTGTTTGCCCCCATACTGGCCTGATCACCCCTCACTACCTCTACATTTCGGCCTAATCACCCCTAACTGCTCCCCCTTGCCAGCCTGTTTGCCCCCAACTGCACCCCCCTCCCCTGGCTGCTCTGGTCATCCCTCATGCCCCCCCTACCAGTGTGATCACCCCTCACTGCCTCTGCATGCCAGCCAGGTTGCCCTCAACTGCCTCCCCCCACCCCCCACCCCCGCCACCATGGTGGCCCCTCACCGCTCCCCAACCAGCCTGGTTGCTCTATGCAGCCTGCTGTTCATTCATTTGGTCGTCCCTCACTAACCCCCGCTGCTGGCCTGGGTGTGATGGTCAATTTGCATATTACCTCTTTATTATTTAGGACTAGCATGCTTTCCTCCTAGCAAAGGTTCTACCCAAGAAAAGGTGAGATCAGACTGCTCCCTGAAAACCTGGGAATCATTACATCATCTCAAAGAACTGGTGAAACTTCCCCAAAGGAGAGTGGGAACTCCAATCCTACAACCTAGCTTCAGCCTCAACATCCAAAGGGGGAGGAAAGACAGGCATTGTCTGAGCTCTTACAATACTAGGAACGTTTCAGCACATCATCTCAGTCCCACAAAAACTCCCTGAGCTAGGTACCATCATCCTATTTTTAGAGGAGCAAACTGAGGGTGGCAGATGTTAAGACACTTGACCAAAATAAGATGACTTAGAAGTAAGCAGAGCATCAGAATTTGTGTGAGTCCCCAGCCTGCCACTCAGGCTCTGCTCAGAGGCTGCCTCTCCCCGAACAGCCTCCCACATCTCTCTGCTTTATTTTTCTTCATAGCTATTATCATACCTGTTATTGCATGATGTACTTATGTGTGTATTTATTTCCTGTCTGTCTCCCCACAGAATGTGAGTGGCAGAGACTATCCATCTTGTTGCTGCTGTTTCCCTACCTGGAGAACAGCATCTGGCACTGGTGGACCTTTGTCTTTATTGCTGGACTGATGGGAAGGACAGCTCTTCCTGCCTCTCCATGCTACTTTCAAAAGCATCCCCTCCATTATCTGCTCCTTTCTTTCCTTCCCCTCAAGAATTCACAACCTCCCTCCCACAAACGTCTAGCACCAATCTCAGAGGCCAAGTAAAAAAACATAGAAAGGCAAATGGCTCTGTGTTCCTTCAGAAAGGGAGTTGTACGGAAGACTAAATCCCTGGAAAGCCAATAAAAAACTCTGCTGTGTGTAAGGACAGGCTTGTTCCTACAAAGGCAAAAGTGATCATGGTGAGGAGAAAGTGGTGGCTTATTGCAGACTTCCTTTTAAAGCAGAACCTCTGTAATAAACCATCACAGACAGCTCTGGCTATCCCTCCTATTCTCCACGCATGCTGTTTTGCACCCAATCAAGTACTTGGAGATTTGGAATGCTGAAGCAACACAGGTGGGACTAATTAGAAAGTAGATGTGGCACAGAAAGCATCCAAAAAGTACAAATACATCCCCGAAGTTAATGTAAGGACAAACCAGAGCAGTGGTCCCAAACCCAAATTATGCAGGACAATGGCTCTTGAAGTGTGGTCCTTGGACCAGCAGCATCAGCAAATATGTGAATTTGTTAGAAATGCGCATTCTCAGGCCTACCCAGACCTACCAGAATCAGAAACTCCAATGTTGGGGCCCAGGAATCTGTATTTTTTGTTTGATTGTTTTTTTCTGTGTGGGTTTTTTTGTTGTTGTTTGTTTGTTTGTTTGTTTAAAGATCTATACCAAGCTCTTAACAGAGGTTATTATTTTTTTAAATATATTTTATTGGCCGAAACCGGTTTGGCTCAGTGGTGGAGCGTTGGTCTGCGGACCGAGGGGTCCCAGGTTCGATTCCGGTCAAGGGCATATACATTGATTGTGGGCACATCCCTAGTGGGGGGGGTGCAAGAGGCAGCTGGTAGATGTTTCTCTCTCATCAACATTTCTAGCTCTTTATCTCTCTCCCTTCCTCTCTGTAAAATATCAATAAAATATATTTTTTTAAAAAATACTTTTATTGATTTCAGAGAGGAAGGGAGAGGAAGAGACAGATAGAAACATCAATGATGAGAGAGAATCATTGATTGGCTGCCTCCTGCACACACACACACCCCCACTGGGGATGGAGCCCGCAACCCAGGCATGTGCCCTTGACCAGAATCGAACCTGGGACCCTTCAGTCCTCAGGCCAATGCTATAACACTGAGACAAACCAGCATTTTAGGTCACTGATGTATACTAAAGTTTGACTACTGTTTTAGGGGACTAAACAAGTACAGATCTGGGTCCTGAAGATCCTGATTCAGTAGGTTTGGGATGGGGCCCAAGGAGACAGCAAAAGCTTCTTAGTTGATTCTGACTTGCTCGCAGGTTTAAAAACTATGCAATCTGAGGTCTCATCTTTCCCTGACCCCAGGACAGTGCCTTCAGTTTTACGCCCATCTCCCACCATCTCCCAGTCACTCACTCACCACACAGAGCGATGATGTGGCTGCTATCTTCATGCACAAACTTCCTGGTGACAGACTCCTCCATGATTTGCTTCACCTGTGGATAAATGGGCAGTATCGTCATTTATTTCCTGATCAAAAGCCTGTGGACAAGTAAATAGCCTGGCTCTGCCCTCCTGTCTGAGCTCAGACACTTGCAGAGTAAATGATAGGATGGGAGGGGTGGGGAAGGCAACTTTCTTCAGCATAGACAGCTCTAAGCATTTTGGAAAGGCAACCAGAAAAAGAGATGCCATAAATCCACCAGCCAATCAGGGCAGATGTTCTAGCCCGGCAGGAAGTACCCTGCTGTGGGAAACAGGGATAGGATGATGTTTGCTCATCTGTACTTAGCTGGAGAAGGGCTTCTAGGCAGACGCACTGTCCTTTAGGGACAAACTGTCTCAGTACAGGCTGCAGATAAACAACCTGCCCCTCCTTTTCTCTGCCTTCTCTGAGGTTAGGGTTAGGTACATCCAGGCCTTAGGGACACTCTCTCCACATGCGCACAAGCCCAGCACTCTTTCTGGTAAAATCCTGATGTTTGGGTTTCTCCTCAGAGGTAAAGCTTCCAAATACCTTCCAAATACCTTGTAAATAGTCACACCTTTCAGAAAACACTTAAAACCCTCCACATGTACTTAGTTTATTGATATGTACTGTGGTAGGTGTATCATTATACAGCTCGATGAATTTTCATAAGCTGAACACATCTATGAAACCAGCATCCAGATGTGGAAACAGAGTGTTTGACCTGCACCCAAAGCACCCTCCTCCATTCTACCAAGTTTCCTTCTCGTCACTACTCCCCTCCAGGGTACCCACAATCCTGACTTCTAACATCATAGAGTGATTTTGTGGGGCTTTGTACTTTCACTAGATGGAATCACTCAGTAGATAAGTGTCTTGTGACTGTTTCTTTTGCTCTCTGGTGTGATGGTGAGATCTGTTCCTGTTGTGTGTAGTTGCGGATTGTTCATCCTCCATTGTGTGAACATACCACCGCTGAGTGGCATTTAGGTGGTTTCTAGTTTGGGGCTCTTATGAATAGTGCTGCTATGAACATTCTGGACATGTCTTTGGAGTTACATTTTTGGGCAAGGAATTTCTGATGCCTGTTTTCTGATTTACTAAATTTTGCCAAATTGTTTCCCAAGTGGTTGTACCATGCCCTAGCTGGTTTGGCTCAGCGGATAGAATGTTGGCCTGGAGACTGAAGGATCCCGGGTTCCATTCCAGTCAGGGCACGTGCCCAGGTTGTGGGCGAGATCCCCAGTAGGGGGGGTGCAAGAGGCGGGTGATTCTCTCTCATCATTGATGTTTCTATCTCCTTCCCTTCCTCTCTGAAATCAATAAAAATTATTTTAAAATGCAAACACAGTCGGGACCGGTTTGGCTCAATGGATAGAGCGTCGGCTTGGGGACTGAAGAATCCCAGGTTCGATTCCGGTCAAGGGCATGTACCTTGGTTGTGGGCATATTCCCAGTAGAGGGTGTGCAAGAGGCAGCTGATCGATGACTCTCTCTCATTGATGTTTCTAACTCTCTATCTCTCTCCCTTCCTCTCTGTACAAAAATCAATAAAATATATTTAAAAAATAATAATAAAATGCAAACACAACAAAGTGGTTGTACCAAATCTACACCCCCATCTATAGTAATGAGGTTCTAGGTGCTCCCAACAGTTAAGCCAAGCACTTTTGATGTCCTGAGGGAACCTGCCAGCCAGGAGACAGATACCAATCCTGGAGATTAAAGGAACAGATTACCTCAAACCCCCTGTAGAATGTTCCAGATAAAGTAAACTCTTGGCAGAGCTGCTTTTTGCCATTCTTTTGGGACCAGACATGAAATGTCCTGATGCTGCCCTGGCTCCCATGTCCCTCACCTAGGGTTGTATAGTTAGAAGGGTGATGGAGCTTCTAAAACCTGGGGAACAGGGAGGAAGGAGATGTGGGCTCCTTCTTGCTTGAATTTGCTCATGGTTAGCAATTAGGTAAAGGGGCTCAGATCAATACTCACTATCATTTTTTTAAAAGTAAAAATGTTTTAAAATTGATTTGAGAGCGAGAGAGGGAGAGAAACATCAACTTGTTATTCAATTTATTTCTGTATTCATTGGTCTATTCTTATATTGCACTCTATACTCTTTTTAAAAAAATATATTTTATTGATTTTTTACAGAAAGGAAGAGAGAGGGATAGAGAGTTAAAAACATCAATGAGAAAGAATCATCAATCAGCTGCCTCTTGCACACCCCCTACTGGGGATGTGCCCGCAACCAAGGAACATGGCCTTGACCGGAATCGAACCTGGGACCTTTCAGTCCGCAGACTAATGCTCTATCCATTGAGCCAAACCAGTTTCGGCTGCACTCTATACTCTTAAAAAAAGCTTCCTAGATTATTTACCAAGGCTGCTTGCATTAAACGGAGCATAATGTCATAGCTCAGAGACCTGTAAGCATCTGAAGTAGGTTGGTAGGGCAGACTTTTGGGTTAGGACAGTGGTCAGCAAACTCATTAGTCAACAGAGCCAAATATCAACAGTACAACGATTGAAATTTGAGAGCCAAATTTTTTAAACTTATATTTCTTCTAACGCCACTTCTTCAAAATAGACTTTCCCAGGCTGTGGTATTTTGTGGAAGAGCCACACTCAAAGGGCCAAAGAAACGCATGTGCCTCTTGAGCCTCAGTTTGCCGACCACTGGGTTACAGATGCCCCTAGAATTTGGGAACCAGAGGTTCATTGTGAAAGGCCAGCCTTGCCTACAACTATCCCTAATGTCTCTACTGGCAGAAGAAAGGAAATGTTTCTCTCAAAATTGAGTACTCAAATGGTAAGGGGACTAAGTTCAAAGCAGGTCAACCTTTGTCAGGTAATTTAACATAGCTGTGACCTATTCTGGACCTTTCTCACATCTGTTCAGGAATCATTCTTGGAGTTTGACTACAGCCTTCCAAATACTGAGAAAAGAATCACTGTCTCCTCAAAAATCTTTCCTACCATCCCTGACAAACCCCAAATTTGAATCTCACCAACAATTCTAGCATTTCTGTTCATAGTTTGGATATGCCTCCTTTTTTTATATATAATATATTTTATTGATTTTTTTACAGAGAGGAAGGGAGAGAGATAGAGAGCTAGAAACGTCGATGAGAGAGAAACATCTACCAGTCGCCTCTTTGTGCCCGCAGCCAACTTACATGCCCTTGACCGGAATCAAACCTGGGACCTTCCAGTCCGCAGACCGACACTCTACCACTGAGCCAAACCGGTTTCGGTGGGTATGCCTCCTTTTTGTTCTCGCTTATACTGTTCATAGACGTCTCTGTCACTAGACTGCTTGTTTCCTGAGGATAATCACTGAGATCTGAGATTTCTTTTTTCCTTGGGAGAACAGAGTTGGGGCTTAAGTGCTGATCTGATATACCCCTGGCCTAAAAAACACCCTTTCTTGGCCACTTCACAGCAAAGGCACAATGGAGCTTCCCACACACAGCTGGAAAGGTGATGACTTCAACTATCAATTAAAGGGAAAGCAACAAATATTAGGGCAAAGAACCACTGAGAGCCTTCCAGGATTTTATGAGAACCAGACTCTTCTCCAATCCTGAAACTCTAGGAGGGGGTAAAGAAACCGTTATAGTAACTTTTAAAGGTGGGGTAGATATTGTTATCCCTATTTTAGAAATGAAGAAATTAATATTCAGGGAAGTAACTTATTCAAGATCACACAGAGATAGGTCCAGACTATTCCAAAATGTATGCATTCCCACCAGACCTTGCAGTCTTCAAGATCAGTAAATTTAATTGCCAAATAATAATCATTGAGTGCCTACTGTGTGCCCTGGATACAGAGGGTTTTCCTGCCCTCGTGGAGCGTACACATCTGGCAGACAGACACAGAGGCAGGTCAGAGCTGTTCATGGCTCCAGAGGCCTCATCTATTTTAATCCATTCTGCGGGTTTGAGCTCTCCAGCTCTCATATGGGGGTGAGTCATTCATATGGGCACATTCTTCCCCCCCCCCCCTAAACTGAAATGGAAATGGGCTTAGGGCAGGTAATAGATGTTAATAGAGAAAAGGATTCTTTTTCTGACATGGGGCAAGGGGGCTCTTCAAAAGGGGGAGGAAATCTAAGTCTTAAAAACCATTATCGAACTCGCCCTCCCACCCACTCCTCTGGGTAAGGAGTTGGACATGGATTGAGAAGCAGTGAGGTGTCAGGCGAACCCTCCCGCAGCTGCCACTCAGTTCCCAAAGGGTGCCTGAGTGTGAATAGGACAAACAGGGGCTAAGTCCCCAAATCCCCCGGTCAGCCCCCGCCCCCCCGCCCCCAGAAGGCCAGCGCGGGGCCCCGCCCCCTCCCCAGTCCGCACGGGCAGTGCCTGGGCAGCTTCGGTTTTCCAGAAATCGCCGCCACCCCTCCCCCGACCTCGGTCTCCCAGCTCAGCTGCCGTCACTGGGCGGGGAGCTGCAGGATCGCAGAGCAAACAAGCCCGGGAGCACCGGCTTAGCCCCTCGGGCCAAGGGGCCACGACCCCAGATCCCGGAGAGGAGTGGGAGCCTCGGCTCGTCCAGGACCCCGCCCCCGCCTCGGGCCTGCCGGCGCCCGCGACCGACGGAGGGCGCGGACCCTCCACGGGGTCCCTTGGGGGCGGGGACGCGAGCCCCCCGGGGGTCCTTGCCCCGACTTTACCTCCTTTTTCACGTTCCACAGCAGTTTCTCTTTGAGCGCGTCCTCCGCGACGCCCATGGTGCTGCGGCTGGCGGAGAGGCCGCGTCGAGCGCTCCCCCGAGCCCGCCTCGCGCCCTCGCCGCCTCCGCGCCCCTCGGCTCAGCGCCCCGCGCGCACCGCGGAGCCCCCGTCCGCCGCGCTCCCCGCCCGCCGCCGCCGCCGCAGCCACTGCCCGGTGCTCGGCTCCGCAGCCATCTTCTGAGCCCCGCACAGACGTCAGGCAGCTGGCCCGGCCCCTTCCCACAGCCGGGGCGGGAGGGGGGTGCGCTCGGAGGCCGGGGGCGGCCGGCCTGGGAGCGCGCCACGCCGGCCGCTGTCATGGCAACGCGCCGGCTCCAGTCCCCGGGGCGGGAACCCGCATTGTGAGCACCTGCAGCCGGGCCCGCACCGCGACCACGGAGGCCAGGCGCGCCTGAGCCCTGCGGCTGGAGAGAAAGTTGCTCGCGCGGCAAACTGGCCTCAATCCAGCTAGACGCACCCTCTGGTTTATGCCGGCTCTTTTTCCCGACGGGGAAGTCCGGGGGCCCCCTGCCCCCTGCGCCGAGTGAAAGGAAGCGGTAGTCTCCTGGCTGGAAGGCCAGAACTCTACTCTTGCTCCAAACCCCCTGCCCTCGGCAGGTGGGCGGGTAGGAGTGGTTGTGCAGGAAACAGGAGCTGAAAGAGGCCGACCAGGCGTCGTAGGGGTCGTCGCGCTCAGTCCGGCCCTTCTCGCAGCTATGGGGGAGGTGGGGGCGCGGATTGGGGTCACTGGGACCCGCGGGAACGGCACAGAGCCCGTGAGTTAAAGAAGCGCGTTCCACGCTGTTTGCCGTCAGCAGCACCGGGGGAAGGAGGGCCGCAAAACTGTTGCTCGAAGTGATAACAGCGCACAGGCTGCTGCGAAGTGCGGAGCGGCGTGGGAAAAACGGGGTGTGAGGAGGGGCTCTGCCCTCTTCCGCAGCGATGGAGAGACGCCCCATTCAGATCTTCCTAAGTGATGCAACTTGACAGAGCAAAACGGAATATAGGAGAGCAATACAGCCCTCTGGACGTAAAAGCGCAAACTCAGCGTCTACATTCGGCGTCTGAAAGCCCCCGAAGGCAGACGGCCGTGGGAAAAGTTTACCGGGTGGTTTTGTGAAGACGCGGGAGCGGCGGGGAGGACCCTCGCGAGAGGACAAGGAGAACCCCGCCCCGCCACGGGGAGGACACGCCCCTGAGGGAGGGACCGGAAGCACTCGTTCCGGGCCGGAAGTAGTGCTGGCCTGATACACGTGAAGCGGCAGCATGGCCGCCCATCGCTCGGGTCCGCTCAAGCAACAGAATAAAGCTCATAAAGGCGGACGGCACCGGGGTCGGGGATCTGCGCAGCGGGACGGCAAGGGTGAGAATGTAGGGTTGGGGCGGGGGAGAAGGAATTAGTCGATTTAACTGCTTTTCTCCATGCCCAGTTTCAACTCCAACCTCCGGCCTGCACCCAGCGTAATGCTCTAAGGTGGGCGGAAAGAGGTTCCCTTTCTTGACCTTATTCTGGTCCTCTTTACGATCTCCCTTCAGGCCGTCTAGCACCGAAAAGCCTAAGCAAGAAGGTGAGAAAGGAGCTCAGCAGAGTAGACCAGAGGCATCGCGCCAGCCAGCTTCGGAAGCAAAAGAAAGAGGCGGTGAGAGGAGGGGGGATTGGGGATGGTGTGGCTTCACAGTTCTTCTAGGCAGATAATGGATAATGCCTCCAACTAGAAATGTGACCCTGGGAAAGCCGGAAATGGTGAATAACCTTGGAGCTCATGTTAGTTGTGCTAGTTTAGATTCATGCTAGAGCATCCTTTGCTTTGGTTTGAGCTCCTGCCCACCCCCATAATTGACACGTGGCTTTTTACAAGAGAACTGATGATGGGGGTAGGACATCCCTACGCTGGAAGGGCAATAATGGAAGTGCTGAAACACTGAGATGTTCTCTGGTCCTTTCTGTTTTCAGGTTCTGGCAGAGAAGAGACAGCTGGGCAGTAAAGATGGCCCTCCTCATCAGGTCCTGGTGGTGCCTCTGCACGACAGGATTTCCCTACCAGAGGCCCTTCGGCTGCTTCAGGATAGGGACGCTGGAACAGTGTGCTTGAATGAATGGGGAAGCACCCACAACTTTATGCTGTTATGCCCCGGTTTGAAACATCGGTGGTTTTTCACATCTGCAAGGCCAGGTTAGAGTATACAATATTTTCTATCAGTATGTATGAGTAGTGATAATATTTCTTTTAGTATAAAGTGCTGATGCCAACCACTTCTTCCTGCTGACTTTGTCTTCTGTCTCCAGGAGATCTGCACACTGTGCTAGATTTGGCCAAAGTGGCTGATAGCATCCTGTTCCTCCTTGATCCACTAGAAGGCTGGGACAGCACCGGGGATTACTGCCTCTCCTGCCTTTTTGCTCAGGGCCTTCCCACCTATAGTAAGTAACTTGGAAATATTGGAGGCCATGAAGGAAGTGAATTATCACTTAGTGTGCACCTATAGCTTGCATCATTGTGCCTTAAATTTTTTTTTTCAATTACAGTTTACATTCAATATTTTGTACAAGGTGCCTTTTTATTTCTGGTCTGCCCTTTGCCCAGAGGAAGAAGAGTGTCAAGCTTGGTTTTACTCTGTAATTTCTTTAAGGTAGCTGAGTGTTGTGCTTCCCGGTGATCTCTATGCTCACAACTGTTAGCTTTTTTGTGTGAACTTGCTTGGGGAATTTTCATGCAGGGAAGCAAGAAGTCATGAAACCCTTTTCTCTTTTGCTCGTAGCACTTGCTATCCAGGGGATTTCTGGCCTCCCACCGAAGAAACAAATAGATGCCAGAAAGAAGCTAAGTAAAGTAGTGGAGAAGCGCTTTCCTGATGACAAGCTCCTTTTGTTAGACACGCAACAGGAGGCAGGGATGCTGCTCAGGCAGTTGGCTAACCAGAAGCAGCGGCATCTTGCCTTTCGAGATCGGCGAGCCTATCTCTTTGCTCATCATGCTGACTTTGTGCCTAATGAAGAGAATAACTTGGTGGGGACCTTGAAAATTTCAGGCTATGTTCGTGGACAGACTATGAATGTAAATAGCTTGCTGCATATCATTGGACACGGTGATTTCCAGATGAAACAGATAGATGCTCCTATGGATCCTTTCCCTTTAAACCCTAGAGTGATCAAATCCCAAAAGGACTCTGGCATGGCGATGGAGGTAAGATTGATGTTCTTAGAGTATGTATTGTTGCTTCATGTATAAGCTGGTGTAAGATGGAAACTAACTTCAGAGAAGGCAGTCTGCATTCCAAAAACCCTAGTCTCTGGGGGTGACTGCTAGTTCAAAGTAAGGCACTAGTCAATTACAAATATGTTGCTATGTTACATATTTATCTAGCACTCCAGGTTCCTTACGCAGCAGCTTGCTTTGGGTTTATAGGAGACACAAGATGTAGTCTCAGACAATTAGATCATGGGAGGGGAAAAAAGGCAAACACCTGTGGAATAAATTGGGGAAGTGTGGTTGAGGTGCAGAGCTGCTGTGGGGGTTGAGAAAGTTGACTAGTAAGCTTCACAGAGATATCAAACATCAGCTAGGTGTTGAATAGGAAGAATGTGATTTACAAGTTTTAGAGAGATGAAAGAATATCCTAGACTATAGAGACAATATAAACCTAGCATAATGATGTCTCAAAGGGTTTCTTTGAACTCTGAAGAAACCAGAACAAAGTATGTAACAATAAGATAGTGAGGCCAGATTCTGAAAAGCCTCGAGTCAAGCAGAAGTATAGACTTAAAATGCTAGGAAACAGAACCATTTGAAAACACTTGACACATTTTGGCTTTCTGTTTCAATTTATTTCATTCATCTTCTACATGTTATTTTTTATCTTTCCCGTTAATATTTGACCATTACCTGTTTTTGGTTTTTAGATTTGTGCTACAGATGCTGTAACTGATATGGAAGAAGACCTTAAGGTCCTAATGAAGGCAGACCCTGATAGACAAGAAACTTTGCAAACAGAGGTGATACCTGATCCAATGGAGGGGGAGCAAACCTGGCCCACTGAGGAGGAACTGAGGGAGGCAAATGGTTGGTAATGGCAAGCTTGTTTGTAATTCATCTGGCCTGGAATTGTGGATTTTGTCTAGCTGCTCACAGTCAAGACCTATAAGGTAGAGTGGGATGAGGATTTACTTAGAGGTTTGTCTCTTCTCATCCCCGAAATGCTTTCTGTTTGCTTAGGCAAACATTGGACACAACTTTGCCTCATTTCTCAAAATCACTTGCTATAATGAAAACAACTTTGGATTCATTGCAAGTTTAAGTGTTGCTAGTTTTGAGGCAGCTGAATTAAATTTGGAAGTATTAGTCTGTTTTACTTATTTTGTCTGCTAGGGATTTTGGTGTTGGCAATAATATCTGGTGTCTTTCCTAGGCAAGAATACCCAAAGTAATAGGGAAAAGGAGCTATAAAATTTACTTAACTCATTTGGGCTTTTACAGACTTGTTGAAGGAAAGGTCCAAGGTGGTAAAGAAGGTTCCTAAAGGAACATCCAGCTACCAAGCTGAATGGATTTTGGATGAGGATGGCGAAAGTGGTGGGGAAGAAGAGGAAGATGATGATGTAGAAAATGAGGATTTTATGGCAGAGGAATCTCCGGTAAGAAAATAGTCCCTTAGATCACTTCTGTGTACAGCCCCAACTGCAAAGCAAAGTGCAATCCTGTCTTTGGATATGTGTTGTCAGTTTTATTTTGTTTTTAACTATAGGCTGTTGTGTTCTTGTTTTTTATTTTGGTTGTTGATTTTTTAAATATATATATATATATTTTTTTTTAGAAAGAGAGAAACATAAATTTGTTGTTCCAATTATTGTTATTTTTCAACCCTCACCTGAGGCCTTTTTTTTTTTTTTTAATTGATTTCAAAGAAGGAGAGGAAGAGAAGTAGAAACATCAATGATGAGAAAATCACTGATCAGCTGTTTCCTACATGCCCCCTGCTGGGGATTGAACCCGAAACCTGGACATGTGGAATTGAACCCGGGACCCTTCAGTCCACAGGCCGATGCTCCATCCACTGAGCCAAGCCAGTCAGGGCCTGAGGACATTTTTCCCATTGGTTTGTCAGATACAGTAGGAGGGAAGGGGAGAGAAAGAGAGAGACAGACAGACAAACATGGACATGAGAGAGACACATCATTGATTGCGTCCCGACCAGGGAATGGGATGGAAGCTTTAAAGCCAGTATGTGTCCTTGACCTGGAATCAAACCTGTCACCCTTCAGTCTGCATGTTACGCTCTAACCACTGAGAAAACTGGCCAGGACTGCTGTTCCACTTATTTATGCATTCATTGGTTGATTCTTGTATGTGCCCTAACTGGGATCAAACCCATAGCCTTGGTGTATGCATCAGGACAATGCTCTAACCAACTGAGTTACCCTCCAGGGCCTGTGGTCAGTTTTCTAAGAATGACTGTAGTTGTCTGGAATGAGACTTGTTTTATAACTTGAGTCCCTCCAAATTGATATGGTTTGGACTAGGTGTCTAATAACAGTATTTTATTCTTTGCTTAATGGCTTTTAGGGTAAAGATAGGTGTGGGTTTCTTCTGAAACTACAATCCTTTATCCCACAGGATGAGAGTAGTGAAGAGGAAGAAGAGGAGGAATGTGAAACCATGACTATTGGAGAGTCTGTGCGTGATGATCTATATGATGAGAAAGTGGATGAAGAGGCTGAGGAAATGATGCTAGAAAAATATAAACAAGAAAGACTGGAAGAGATGTTTCCGGATGAAGTAGATACCCCCCGAGATGTGGCTGCTAGAGTTCGGTTAGTCAACAACTTCAAGATCAGTTAATACATTTTTTATTTTAAATATATGTGGCTCAGAGTTGTCAGTGTGACACAAAAGAAGAAAAACATTGTTCTGCTCCTGAAAGGCTAACATTCTTTGTGGGAAGATAAGACATCCATACAGGAAACTAATATATTACCAAGTTCTAGACTGTGTGGTATAGACTATTGTTTAACAGTATTTTAATAAGATTCATTAGCAAGGCTTCCTATGTGAACTAATTATGTGAACTAATACTGAATGTATAGAATGTTTGGAGAGTTGGGGGAGTTTAGGTAGAACCACAAAAAAGCATGGGAATTAGTCTGAAAATTTAGGGAGTTTGTTGGATATTAAAGAAGTTAAGCTTTTATCAAGGACCATGTTCCTCAGATGCCACTCCCTAATAGGCACCTGGGAGCCACTATAAATACTTTGTCTCTTTTGTCAGTAAAAAACTTGGGTTTGGTTCTGAAATATTTGTTAACTATTTTAGAGTGTGGTTTTGGTTTGGGCTATTAGGTTGTCCTGAAGAAATAGTGATAAGAGTTCTTTAAGTTAGAGCCTTAGCCATATTATTGACTTAAGTGAAAGAGTAGCACCATATAAATTAGACTATTAATTTATTTAAAATCTCCTATATTCTAGATTTCAGAAATACAGAGGCCTCAAGAGCTTCCGGACATCTCCGTGGGATCCTAAGGAAAACCTTCCTCAAGATTATGCTCGGATCTTTCAGTTTCAGAACTTTACCAATACCAGGAAACGCATCTTTAAAGAAATCAAGGAAAAAGACGTTGAAGGAGCTGAGGTATCTTCCTTTATTCACCCCTACAGTTTGCTTTTGTTTGCCAAAGGGCCCCCTGCTTTACTCCTCTTGACCTTATTTAGTTTTGTGCTGCTCATAGCTGAATTAGAGGAGCCACTGAGTCACTGATAAGAGTGATATTGGGAGAAGATATGTTAACTGGAAAAGTTTAATCTGGATAGTTGTGGCATCTGTGAAAGGTAATTTTGAAGGACAGGGGTTGGCCTTATGAGACTTTTTAACATATTTGGAGAAATGTTTCATCATTATTGAGGCCTTAAGGCTAATTGGGTGGCTGTTTTCTGCTTTATCTGGCAGGTTGGCTGGTATGTCACACTTCATGTCTCTGAAGTGCCTGTCTCTGTGGTTGAGCATTTCAAGCGGGGAGCTCCATTGGCTGCGTTTTCTTTACTGCCTCATGAACAGAAGGTTAGTGTCTTATGGGAAATGGGAGTTGTGAAACTTTCTGACCAATTTTTTTCTGGCATTCTTAACATTTTATTTATCGCTGACATTTTGCTCATTGGGATGCGAAAAAAAATATGCCTTTAGGATTAGACTGAGGTGATAGAGAAGTCAATGATGGTGTAACCCAACATGTCTGAACCTGTCTGAAGCATCATAATGATGCAACCTGTGTGGTCTGAGACTTCTCTGAGATAAGTATATTTGTTAGATCAGATTTTAACCAGCCTTGAAAATAAAGGGTTTATGCCAAGATGTAGATCTTTCTTCTTGGAGGCAGTAGTTATGAGGTTGGAATGAATGTGAGAACTCTGGCCTTTGGTCAATGTGAGGAAGTGTTGAGGAAGAAAGGGGGCTTACAGCCGAGACCGGTTTGGCTCAATGGATAGAGCGTCGGCTTGGGGACTGAGGGGTCCCGGGTTCAATTCCGGTCAGGGGCGTGTACGTTGGTTGCGGGCATGTCCCCAGTGAGGGGTGTGCAAGAGGCAGCTGATCGATGACTCTCTCATTGATGTTTCTGGCTCTCTATTTCTCTCCCTTCCTCTCTGTACAAAATCAATAAAATACATTTAAAAAAAGAAAGGGGGCTTACATGAGTACGATTTTGAGGTGTGTGGTGAGTGAGTGGCTTGAAGTCACTGAGCATGTGGCAGATGTTGAGCTCTTGCATTTTAGACACTGGAATGTCAACTAGTAAGATGAGTAGTTGAAAGCTCTGAAAACCAGCCTATGTTCGGTTTAAATGCCAGTCGGTGTGAAGATAAAAGGTGAATCTGTCACATCTGTACCACACCATAAACTAGCAGTCAGTTCTTATAGAGAATCTGAACCTGTTAGTTTGGTGTGCCTTCTTCCAGGCTAAGCTGTTCATATCTAGAAGTTCTGTTTTTCTTACTTGGTCACTAGATGTCAGTACTGAATATGGTGGTAAGCCGGCATCCTGGCAACACTGAACCTGTGAAAGCGAAAGAGGAGCTGATCTTCCACTGTGGGTTCAGGCGCTTTCGAGCCTCGCCTTTATTTTCCCAGCACACTGCAGGTAAGCAGTCGGGAACCTCTGGGCTCTTGTCTATCCTATTGTCTCTTGGAAGACTGTAACTTTAGGTGGTACAGGGCACACAGTTTCTCGAATTCTAGGTCTCGGGGTTAGAGGCATTTTCAGTACTCTGGTTTAGAAGCCAATGATGTGTTTATTCAAAATGTCTGAACCTGTCTGAAGCATCCCAGTGATGCTACCTCTGTGTAGTGCTGAGGTTTCTCTGCCATGAGTATTGGTCCTAGGGTAGATTTTGAGTCAGAGTAGGCGGCTTTATATTAATGGTGTATCAAAGTATGGAACCGTTGGCATCTGATATGCCATTGCCAGTATTGATGAAGGCTAGTGGGTTATCCCCAGATGGATTAAGCAAGAGATGTGTGGCTTCTGAGATGTTGAGACTAAATAAGAGTTTGTAAAGTGGTGACACTTGTGTGTCAAAAATTATTGTGCTACAAATTAGGAGTGGGAAGTTTGGTACTAAGTTGGGGGCTTTTGAACATGACTTACACTCAGCTTGGTAGTGTTCATAGGAAGATGATGAAAGCAGTATTAATGGGAGCTCTGGATAATTTCTCTTCTCACCACCAATGCTGTCTAAATGAGGGGTTAACTTTTCTTTCCTTCAAAATATTTTACTTCCCTATACTTCAGTATTTAAAAAGGAGGAGGGTTTCATTGAAGGTAAAAAAACAGAAGTTCCAGATAGTCCCCAAGATCAGAGGTCAGTAAAACACAGCCCTTAAGCCAAGTCCTACTGTTTATAATGTTTTGTTTGGAATACAGTTTTGCTTTTTAAAAAAATATATCATCTTGGCTATTTTTGTACTATAGTGACAGTTGAGTAGTTAGAGACTCTATGGTCATAAAGCCTAAAATATTTACTCTCTGATCCTTTATAGAAAATGTTTGCCAATTCTCACTCAAGACTAAGAACTGTTGATTTAGTGGACATATTCTCTATAAAATACTGATTCCCAAATGAGGTAGGTAGGGGTGATAAGTATTAGAATCACTGGAGAACTTTTTCAAACCCCAAATGTAGTCCAGGGTCAAATTTTGCCTCTGAAAAATCACTGTGATAGGGTTAGGTTGTATCTTTGAGGTGTATTGGGGCAGGAAAATATTTTGAGAACTAGTGGGGTAAAGAAACACAAGTTGCCTTGGATGTAAGAGTTGCAGTGATACAGCTTTTCTCAGGCCCCTGGATTACCTGTGGTTTCTCAAAATGATTTTGGGTTTTATTTTTTAACTTTTATTATGGCAGCGGATAAACATAAATTTCAGAGATTCTTGACTGCTGATGTGGCCCTGGTGGTGACAGTATATGCCCCAATCACTTTTCCTCCTGCATCTGTGCTGCTTTTCAAACAGAACAGCAATGGTAAGTTGAGTTCACCAGGTAAACAGACCTACGGGTCTCTAATAGACTCAACATGGTTTTCTGTATTTAGATTTGGGAGCCAAATGGTATAGAGAAGGGGATGAGTTTTCAGAATATCTCAGTCTCAGCCTTAAAGTGGGTCTAAGGCAGGGGTGACAAATGGGGTTTGTTCCTTTCTTCTTTAAAAAAAAAATACATTTATGGTGATGATTTTTTTTTTTTTTTTTTAAGAGAGGGAGAGTGATAGATAGAAAAATTGATGAGAGCTGAAACCGGTTTGGCTCGATGGATAGAGTGTCGGCTTGGGGACTGAAAGGTCCCAGGTTCGATTCCGGTCAAGGGCATGTACCTTGGTTGCGGGCATATCCCCAGTGGGGGATGTGCAAGAGGCAGCTGATCAATGAATCTCTCTCATCGATGTTTCTAACTATCTCCCTTCCTCGCTGTACAAAATCAATAAATAATATTTAAAAAAAAAAAAAAAAGAAAGAAAGAAAGAAAAATTGATGAGAGAAAAGCATCATCGATCAGCTGCCTCTTGCATGCCCCATACTGGGGATCAAGCCTGCAATCCCAGGATGTGCCCTGAATGGCAATCAATCCAGTGACCTCTTGGTTCATGGATTGATGTTCAACCACTGTGCCACACCAGCTAGGCAATGGGGTGTGATTTTACTTGCAAACTGGAGCTAATTGATAGAAGCTGCTCAAAGTGCTATATTTAGTATAGGTTATAGGAACAGGCTCAGTAGGAATATCACTTAGTGATCTTTGCCATGGAACTAGGAGGACAACATAGTAAGGTTTCTCTAAGAGTATCTTGCATAGGTCTTTAAATGGATTGGAGCAATAAATGCTTTGTCCTAAAGACTTGCTGCTCTGCTTTTGCCCCTTAGGAATGCACAGCCTCATTGCTACAGGCCACCTCTTGTCAGTGGATCCAGACAGGATGGTCATCAAGAGAGTTGTGCTGAGTGGTCATCCTTTCAAAATTTTTACTAAGATGGCAGTAGTACGTTACATGTTCTTCAACAGAGGTAAGTGTGAAGGGTGGGATCTGATTGTCTTTATGGGGTGAAGGTTGGGTGTACATTTTGCAGGTAAATATATCTTGGTGTTCTGTGTGTTTCGTTCTAAGAGGATGTGCTGTGGTTTAAACCGGTGGAACTGAGAACAAAGTGGGGCCGCAGGGGACATATCAAGGAACCTTTAGGTAAGAGAATGTGGTGTTTGGAACCTTAGCTAGATATTTCCAGTGCTAAAATTTTATTTTGATTTCATCACCTTGCTGTGTTTTCTTTCTAGGTACTCATGGCCATATGAAGTGCAGTTTTGATGGGAAGCTAAAATCTCAGGACACAGTACTAATGAACCTCTATAAACGAATTTTTCCCAAATGGACTTACGATCCCTATGTTCCAGAACCAGTACCTTGGGTGAAAAGTGAGATTTCAACAGTGCTGCCAGAAATGGACATGAAGTAATGGATACAATGGATTCTATCTCTTTGCTACTAGTTAGCACCCTAGGGATGGGAACCTACAGGTTGTGATTGGGCAAAGTTTATGTTATCTATTTTAGCCTACAAGCCTGCTGTTCCTTTTTGCAAAAGATTTTTCTTGGCCTTGACAAGGTGTCTCAGTTAAGTATGGATGTTTTTTTCTATTGCTACTTTATCAAAAACAAAAAAACAAAAAACTCTTAGAGCTTATTGATATATCTACCCTACATTAGAATGTTGAAAGCTGTTTAAGTAGGTAAGATGTGGGAAGTTAACAATGACTAGGAAACAAAATTTCCAAGTGTCTAGAGACACTGAATCACATTTCTTCCTTCTGCATAAATTAAAAAGAAATGGATTGATAAGGAGCTGGCCTTTCAGCCTGCTTCATCCAAGTGATAGAAGTTAAATCTACATTTCCACCACTGAGCACAATACAAATGTTCTTTACTTCTGGGGAAATTGTTTGAAAATGCTGCGACAGAACAGCAGCCACTCCAACAGCAGCTGTAGGTTCAATAAGCAGTTTCATCCTCTCCCATACCAGCTGGGTTGCATACTGTTGGTAGAGAGGGAGTAAGAATTAGTGAAACGGGAGAAGGAATGCCTAGTTGATGTGCTTTTACACTTAAAAGCTAAGTGACATATACGTATGCTTGCCAATGAAGAGCTAGTCTTTTTTTTTTTTTTTTTTCCATTCTAACTCTGCTTCTTAAATGAGAGTTGTCCCAGTTATCTAGGGCACCCTCCCATGTCATGAGTCACCAAGTCAAATCCCCAGTGGATGAGTTGCTACCTGCAAGAGAAGTAACTTTTGCTTAAAAAGTTGCTCCCTTCTTTTGTTTTCTTTCCTGTTGGAGCCTCACCTTAATCTCATCCTCTGTGACAGTGAAGACATCATCCACAAGGTCCCTTATAACAGGCCAAGTGTTTAAGCCAATGCTGGATTTCACACCATCTGCTATGGTCTCTGGAGGACAGGGATTGGGGGTCAGTTCCCCTTTCAGTTTGGACTTGTAGCAGTCATCTGCATTCAAGGGTTCAGCAGCATAGACCTTCACAGTAGGTCTCAAAGCCTGGGAAGAGAAATAGACGCCTTACCAATAGCTACTGCCTGCATGCCTGCAGTAACATAGGCAATACAAGTCAGAGCCTTTTCTGATAGATGTAATGAAAATACGACTATAAAGCACTTTAAATTGTATGCCTAATACTGGGCTTCAGTTGCCTAGATCACATCTGGTTCTATTGGTCACTTGAGAAAACAGTAGCCCCCGACTTGGATAGTAGATTGGTGAGATGGAATTCAGGGAAAGGCCTGAATTAGGGTACCACTCACTGTAATTGCTTTTGTGCTGTAAAGTCATAAATTAAGGAAAGGGTGGTGAGGCAGAGAAGAGCCTTTCATCTCATGTGCTAAGAAATGAAGGGAACAGCAATTGAGGGGGAATGTTGAGCAAGTACCACAATGTACTGTGATGTGAAATAAAATCCTCTATGCCTAAAGTGGGGTAGTCTTCCAGAAGTTTTCTCACCTTAACTGCAATTGCTATTCCAGCAATCATTCCTCCTCCTCCTACAGGTACCACCAGTGCATCTACCAAAGGAACCTTTAGTGAAAGGAAGATAAAGTATAAATAGATTTATTAAACATCAGTTGGAAATATACATATTAAATAGTTGACTATACAGTCAAACATCAGATTTACCAATAGTTCAGCAAGAACTGACTAGGCTTTTACCTGGTTCAGTACTTCCATGGCAATTGTCCCTTGCCCAGCCATCACTGCAGGTTCTTGATTGGGATGTACCATGATTCCTTCTGTTTCTTCTATAATTTTTCTGGTAATATTTTCTCTGGACTGAAAGAGTACATTATTTTAACATACTTGATTTGTTTTTAATAGTGTTTTCAACAAATTAGATTAAAGCATTTAACATTTTATTTGCCATCTACTTTTTTGAGACTCTGGGCCCTGGGAATATAAACAAAACAGTCCCTGTGCTCCAGGGACTGTTTTGTTTATATGTTTTGTGTTCTAACTAGAGGCCCGATGCACAAAATTTGTGCAAGGAGCTTGGCCAGTCACAGCCCAGGCTGCCTTGCAGCCCTGCCCACTGGTGGTTCTGCCATCTGGTCTAATTAGCATATTAGCTCTACTATATAGGAGTGTGTTAGGGAGGGGTGGAATATAAATAACTATAGTATGTCTACATGCTATGGGAAAAAAATTATACAGGGTACTTAAGGGCTGCTGATACTAAGTAGATAGCTGGTTGCTCTGAAAACAGACTAGTGGGACAAGGGTAGAAGCAAAGACACCAGTTAGGCGGCTGCTGAATCAGAACTGATGTTGGTTTGAAACAGTAGTAATGGTAGGGCTATTAGAAGTAAGTGAATTATGGAAATATTTTGAAAGTTGGACCTAAGATTTGGATGTGGAGTGCAAAAGTTATCAAGATGACTCCCAACATTTGTTTAACAACTAATTTGCCATTAAGATGAGGAAGACTGGAAGAGGAGCAATATAGGGAGGAATGAGATCATTTGGTTTTAGACAGCAAGTTTGAGATGCTTAGTAAGACATCCAAGTAGAAATACTGAATAGCTGTTGAATATACAACTCTGGGTTAAGGGCAAAGTTCAGGGCTGGAGTTGGCATATAGATGGGTGACATTTCAAACTACGAAACTAATATAAGTAGATAAATAAAAGGTTTGGCATATATAAAAAGGAAACAGGAGCCCTGGCCTGTGTGGCTTAGTTGGTTGGGCACTGTCCTGTGCACCAGAAGGTTGTTGGTTCAATTCCTGGTCAGGCTCAACCTTTAGGAGGGTGGGGGGAGGTATTCAGAAGGCAGCTGACCAATGTTTTGCTCACATCAATGTTTCTCTTCCTTTCTCTTCCTCTAAAAAATAAAATCTTTTAAAAAGAAAAAAAGACCGAAGCTGGTTTGGCTCAATGGATAGTGTCGGCCTATGGACTGAAAGGTCCCGGGTTCGATTCCAGCCAAGGGCATGCACCTTGGTTGCAGGCACATCCCCAGTAGGGAGTGTGTGAGAGGCAGCTGACCGATGTTTCTGACTCTATCCCTCTCTCTTCCTCTGCAAAAAAAATCAATAAAATATATATTTTTTAAAAGAATAAAAGTGTCTTGATTGGTTTGGCTCAGTGGATACAGCGTAGGCCTGTGGACTGAAGGGTCCCAGGTTTGATTCCAGTCAAGGGCATGTACCTTGGTTGCAGCACATCCCCAGTGTGGGGTGTGCAGGAGGCAGTTGATCGATGATTCTCTCTCATCAATGTTTGTGGGTCTGTAAAAAATCAAATTTTTTTTAATGGGGGCGTGGACGGACCAGAGCCTGAGAAGAAGTACCCAATAATGTAGAAAGAGAAATTTCTTTTGATAGTGAAAACTGGTAAGATGTTATTGAACATTACTCTCTTCCTCACCTCATCACTCTGTTCACTGTAGACTATAGAGGCTCCATAGGCTTGTATTGCCAGTTTTTTACAGTTGGGAGCAGTTTTGGGTACCACAATATAAGCAAGAATTCCTGAGATGGAGAAACACAACAAAATCAGGCAAGTTTAGGGTAGAAATTTCTGTTCAGTTGCTTGTAATCAGATAGGGACTTAGAGAAATTCCCACAGCTATCACCCACTTCACTTAAAGTAAGGATACTTTATTATTCTAACAATCCTACCCAGTACCTGGAGAAATCAATACGTACCTTCCAATTTGGCAGCATAGGCGAGAGCTTGGCCATGATTTCCACTGCTGTAAGTAACAACAGCTTTGGGCTTTTCAGAAGTGGTAGGAATCAAACCTCTGATTGCATTAAGGGCACCACGAACCTTGAAAAGAGCGTGAATTTATATTTGATTTAAATTTCTTAAAGAAAACATACACACCAAGGAGCTTTACTAGATTTCCTCTTCCTAATACTGCACAGCCAGTCCATCATTAAATCTTATCTATTCTACCTCAATATCTGTGTGTCTTCTTTGCCAGTACCTTAGTGAGGCCTCATTTTTCAACTTGTGTGTTATCAAATTTCAAGTGATCCTGCTTCAAGGATCATTCTCATCTAATATTTCCACTAGATTATGAAAGTGATCTTTAAAAGACAAATGTTATTTTTTTATTTGACTTTCCTTTTTATTTTTTTTAATTCTCACTTGAAATTTTCCCATTGAGTTTTAGAGAGAGGGAAAGACAGAAATAT